GCAAACTCTAAGGTTTGTCGCAGTATTTCGGGCTAGAGTAACCGGTTATCACCTTGAGTGTGATTTCCGACAAGGCTTCTAAGGCCAAACTTGGGCCAGTCGTACGTCAACCACTCCCTATGTTTATTACCCTCATGCCCCCGGGTGTAGAGAGAACTGTTGTGTGCAAAGGTTTGTGTACAGTTTTATTTCAAACAAGTGTGCAATTTAAATAAGCAAATAAGCAGATATTAAAGCCAAACAAATAAAGAAAACAAACAAGGTAAAGGGGAAAAATATTTAAATTATTATTTTTATTTTATTAACTTCATCAATTAAATGGGCCTGACCCTCTTTAAACGTCCCCAGTGGAGTCGCCATCTGTCGCAACCCGAAAATATCCGATCTTGCGACTTATGGTTTAGACATCCTTTTAAAGGTCTCGTCAATTAAGGAATGCCCGGACACCAGACTAATCCTTAATTAATGGTTTTTGAAAATAGGTTCATGGAGTCGCCACCAATATTTTACTCAAAACATTGGAAAAAGAAAAAAGTATTTTTTTTAAAAAAAAAGAATCTAATAATGGCCTTGATAACCATAATTGGGTTCGGGGGTCGGTTATGTGTAAGGAAGGTATTAAGCACCCCTACAACGCCCACAATTGGTACCCTATGATGAAGTTAACGTGATAAGAATTAATAAATTAACTATTAAATCCCCATTATTAATATTTATTTACATATTGAAAAATTAAATTATACGATTAACCATAAATATCTACATGATTACGCTTGTTATGACAAAAAAATGAGAAGTAAAAGAAAGAGAAGAAGATTAAATGAAATACCTCGTAGCAAGCTTTGTTAGATCTTCAAATATGGAAAATATAGGTGTTTTGTGGCAACCTTTCACACTACAATGCCTCACAAAATGTCCAGAAATACAAGAGAGAGAAAAAGAGAGAAATTTCGAGCTCTAAGGAGCTTTGGACAAAATTTTTGGAGTCCCTAGAACTGTGGCCGAGATTCCAATTTATAGGCATCAGATGTGGGCCGGAACGGCCCGTTCTGGATTCGGAACGGCCCGTTCTGAATCCAAACGTTGTATGGCATTATTGTACCCTAGAATGACCCGTTCTGAAATCAGAACGGCCCGTTCCAGGGAACCAGAACGGCCCGTTCTGGAGTGAGAACGGCCCATTCCGAGGTAAAAATTTAGCCACTTTGATTGGTTCAGAACGGCCCGTTCTGGTCTAGAACGGCCCGTTCCAACCTATATTTTCTAGGCTTTTTAGAAGTCCAGAACGGCCCATTCTGATTGAGAACGGACCGTTCCGGACTTGGAATGGCCCGTTCTGATTTTGGAACGGCCCGTTCCGGGCCACTAAAAAAATTGGTTTGGGCCTTTGGGCCCTCTGATGTCCTATCTTGTTATTTGTATGCCCCCCAGACGAAATTGGGTGTCTACAATCATTCTCCTATGTCTTGTTAGCATTGAATTTATTTTTATTCCTATTTTGTCCTTGTCTTTAATTTCCCATTTTTACCCTTGTATTTTGGGTATCTTAGACATAAGATTTATTTTACTTATATTTGCCATTTTACCCTTGTATTTTGGGGTGTCTTAGTCATATGATTTATTTTTACTTATATTTCCTATTTTACCCTTGTCTTATAGGGTGCCTTAGATTGTAGGATTTTATTTTGTATCTAGGGTATTTTATTAGGGTTGAAAACTAGGCCTAGACTTATTTTTTAGTCAGCATTGGATTTATTTTTGGACTTGGCAAGGCTTAGGCCTAAGAGGAGGGCACCTAGGTTGCATGGTTTTATCATGCACCTAGTTGTAGCTTAACCAAACCCAAAGATTCCATCCTTGGCCACCAAGTAGCATCTAGGGTTAATTTAGGTTGCATTTGAACTACAACTGGCTTGTATTACTCAGCCATGCACTCCCAAATGCAACCCTAAATGCTTCCTCCCTTCTATAAATATCCTAGGATGCACCACTCGTAAATACTTTGGAATTTATGATATTGAGAGAGCCTTTGTGCCTTGATATCTTCCTTAATCCCCTTAGGTCATTTTCAGCCACCTCCTTCCTATCTCACTTTGAGTGCATAGACCCTAGGAGTGGTCTTCATCACCCTTGAAGTGAGCCAAACCCTAGAGTGCTTCTCAAACCATTCATCAAGCACCTTGTCTCCTTCATCCATTTTCGATCACCACCATCATCCAAGGCTAGGCCTTTGAAGAACTTTGATCCAAGGAGTCTAGGAGGCCTCCCATTGATACTCATTCTTCCATCAATGCTAGGAGGGTTTTCCATCACATATCAACAACGAAAAGCTCCTAGTACACTATTTTCAAGGGCTAAACAACCATTGTGGTGCAGTTTTACAAACTATATACCAAAATGGAGTTGTTTTGAAACATATTACACCTTTGGGACTGTTTTATTGGGTGTCGCTATGGGCCATAGCGACACCCATGACACGTGGCTTTTTTTTTTACTTGGTTGGGCTGGACTAGTGTCGCTATAGGCTGGCTCACCACAGCTGATGCGCTTAAAAAAATTATGTAGCCCATAGCAACACTAAGTAAAAAAAAATAAAAATAATAAAAATAATAATAATGTAAAATAAACATAATAAACTGAACTATTTATTATATAGGCTAAACGACCATTGTAGAGTAGTTTTAGAAACTTTTTACCAAAATGGGGTTCTTTTCAAACATATTACACCTTTGGGGCTGTTTATTGGGTGTCATTATGGGCCACAGCGACACCCATGACACGTGGCAATTTTGGGTATAATTATAAGCCATGAACGCCATATTAAGGAGTCGCTATAGCCTATAGCGACTTAATTGGGCTAATAGTAAAGTCGCTATAGCCTATAATACAATACTTATATAAATAATATAAAAAATATAATTTTAAATTTAAAAATAGAAAAAATAATGTGAAGAAAAAACGAATAAAAATAACGTAATATAAGAAAAAAAAATTGTTGAAAATTAATAATTAAAGTATAAAATATAAATTAAAAAAAAAATTTGGGGCGCTATGGCCCATAGCGGGACACAGGCGCTATGGCCCATAGCGTATGTCTTACAAATAAATGTAATATTTTGAAAATATTTAATTTGTTAAATAATTGATAAAAAATTTAGGATAAAAGCGAAAAAAAGAATTGAAATAAGAAAAAATAAAAATTTTAAAAATTTATTAATTTATTAATTTAATGTGGAAAAAATTTTAAAAATGAAATAAAAATGAAAAAACAGGGCGCTATGGCCCATAGCAGAAGTGAGGCGCTATGGCCCATAGCGCCTGTTTCAAATTTGTTCTAATATTTTTTAAATATAAAATTGATAAAATAATTAAAAAAATTTTTTGGATAAAAGCGAAAAAAGAATTGAAATAAGAAAAAATGTAAATTTTAAAAAATAAGTAATATAATGTAAAAAAAGTTTAAAAAATGAAAAAAAAAATATAAAAACTGACGCTAGGGCCCATAGCGCACCACAGGCGCGATGGCCCATAGCGCCTCCTTCAGTGGCCAACTGCTGGTTACCACGTGTCAATTTAGGCGCGATGGCCCATAGCACCTCCTTCAATGCCCAACTGCTGGTTGCCACGTTTGAATTTAACCGCAGGCGTGACCAATTAGAAGGTGACACGTGGCAGTTTGGGTTAAAAATTTGATTTTAACAGCTATAAAATCACCAAGATGGTCCCCTCCCCCAGTTTCATTTTCACGTTTTCATTCCTCTTCCGGTAAGTTTCTCTTCTCTTCTTGATTTTTTAGTTTTCATAATTTTATTTTATTAAATAAATTATATTTATTTTATGTTTAGGTAAATAATAATTTTAACGTTTTAATTAGGTATTTTTTTTATTTGGAGTTCTGCTGCTTGTTAGGGGTTCTTCGTTTGAGGTAAATTTTATTTTGAGGTTATATTTTTTTTTATAATATCTGAAAGTCGCTATAGGGTATTTAACTTTGCATATTTTATTTAGTTAATAATTGTTATTTATTTTTTAATTCTGTGTTTTGTTTCTGTTTACTCATATTTATTTTAAGTTGGTTATAATTGATAATTTATTTAATTTTTATGATTATAATTGGTTTAGGGTTAATAATAAATTAATATTATATTTAAATTATTTATTTGGATTGTGTGTTATTTATGCAATATTAATTATCTGTTAAATTATTTTTATTTATTTGTGTTCTTATTTAATTCTTAAATTTTATTTGTTTTTAAATTAATTTATTTCTGTTAGAATAGTTATTTTTATAAAATAAAAAAAGAAAAAAATATATGTAAATTAATATTATAAATAATCCGAGTTAATTGCAAATTAATTTGTAGTGAAAAAAAATTGTTTATAAAATAAATAATTTTTAAAAAAAAATACAATTATTCGTAAAATAATTTTATTAAATCTGCCATTTAATTTTATTTAATGAATCATATTTATTTTATAACTGATAATTTAATTAATTTTTTCTGATTATAATTGGTTTATTTGAATTATGAAATTAATTTTATTAAATCTTCCAGCAAATTTTAATTAAATATAATATTTATTTTAAGTTATTTATAAATGTTATAACTGTTATTTAAAATTATTTATTTTGATTCTGTGTAATTTTTTCTGATTATAATTAGTTAATTTGAATTAATAAATTTAATTTATATATAAATTATTTATTTGGATTCTGTGTTATTTATTTGGATTCTGATTATAATTAGTTATTTATTTATCTGTTTGTAGTGAAAAAATAATGTTTATAAAATAAATTTTTGTAAAAAATATAAATTAATTTTTTAGAAATTAAATTTATTAAATCTGCCAGTAAAATTTATATAATTATAATATTTATTTGACATTTGTTATAACTGTTATTTTTTTTAATATTTTCATATTATTTTACTTTGACATAATTTATTTTTGTGTATAAAAAATGATATTTCAATAATTAATTTTATTAGATTTTGTTATAGATGGCATCATCATCTTCTTCTAGGGGTATGCGTGTGACATGTGGACCCGTCGACGATGATTTATTGTCGTTGCAAAATATACATGTGTCACAGCATGTTTGGAATAGAGAAGAAGACAAAAGACTAATAGCACGTCGTGCTACTCCCACGCGCACTGGAATTGCGGGAGTTCCACAGCAAATAATTCCGTTACTAGATCAAGCTGGTTTCGGATGGATAACCCGTCTGAATTATATCAAAGTTAGTCCTGGTTTGCTAACGACTTTGGTAGAGCATTGGAGACCAGAGACACACACATTTCACATGCCATTCGGAGAGTGCACAATTACTCTTCAAGACGTTGGCATGCTTGTTGGTCTTCCGGTTGACGGTGAACCGGTATTATCTCGAGGCATTCCAAATATATTCGGATTGGGTAATTATAACTTCACTTTAACTTATTTGTAAATTTATAGTATATTTTTTTTATATTAATAATAGTTAAATTTTTTGTTTGATTTTATGCAGCTGAGGAGTTGTTAGGGGTTGTTCCACCGCAGTCTGAAATTAAAGGACATCGCGTGAGGCTATCTTGGTTGACTGCAAACTTTGGGGACATTGCTGATGACATAGATGATGTACATGTGTTGGCTCGTTATGCTAGAGCCTGGATATTACGTTATCTAGGAGGAGTGCTTGTTCCCGATAGATCTTCGGCGTATGTGTCCTTACGGTGGTTGGTATTTTTGCGCGACTTTGATATTATTAGGACTTATGCATGGGGTGCAGCTGTGCTTGGATATTTGTATCGGAATTTATGCACCTCAACCGATTACAAAACCCCAACCTGCGATGGATTTACCCTTTTATTACAGTTATGGGCATGGGAACGATTCCCAACCATTCTGTCTTCACCATTGCCACCTATTCCTCCAGGCAGTCCAATTGGTTTAAGGTACGAGAAAATTTCGAACTTGACATTTTGACAATTAATCAGTTAATTAAACATTATTTAATTATTTACAATTTGTTTTTTCAGGTGGTCAAACACTGCGACCAAAATAAGTATGAGCGATGATATAAAATTTTATCGCAAATACTTTGATCGTACTACTAGGAAATCTGTAAGTAATAATCATTTTGTAGTTTTAACAAAAATTTATATAGATTTTTTGTATTTTAATATTTACGAATTTAAATTTATATTTTACAGATTATTTGGCAACCATATCCCCCTGTTGAACAGATGCCCGGTGACTGCACACAGGGGATGCAGATTTGGGGTTCTATAATCCCCTTACTTTGTCTCTGTATTTGTGAATGGCATCAGCCGGATAGGGTGATGAGGCAATTTGGTTGCCAACAACCAATTCCAAATCCTCCAATGACTCCTACAAATGTCCATGCATTGACCTTACGCGGTAAGGTTGAAGATGACTAGGCTACAATATTAAGTCCAGCATTAGAGTATTGGGGTCATCAATATAATTATCACTTCACACCTACTCCTCCACAGGTCGG